ATTCTTCACTTAAGGATCATCAGCTTCCATCTGTTATTTACTCACGCCTAACTTCTTTCCTCAGAGAAGTGGAGAAGTTAAGACTCTAACAAAATACTGCCAACTAGGAGAATAACTATTTAACAGTTTATTCTAATGCTCTTTCTAAGTTAGAAATCAGTATAGAACCTCATCCATTTTAAAATTGTTCAAAGAAACTCTGCAGATAAATCCATAAGCTAGATTTCATTTCATCTCTTTGCTGTCAACTTTTGTTAGAAAATATATCTTGAGCTTTTGTCTGAGATAAAGGAGAGAGGATGAAATAGAGAATGCAATAACGCAGGCAGTTCACTTATGCTTTCTGAGCCAACTACATACATGCTGATTTCATTTTTAAATGAATGATGCTATGGGTGTTTCTGCTTTATGACTATTTAGCTCAATTATCAACCCATTTATGCTGGAGAAATCAGGTGCATAGTCTCTTGTTGTTTCATATTATTGTTGTTTGTTATAGAGTCAGAACCAACCTGTAACTGACCCTCCAGTGGGTCTTCAAAAGCTGTTAATTACACTGGAGGAGGTTGACCATCCTTTTCCTGCAGAGCAGCTAGTAGAGTCCAACTCTGTATGTACATCCGAGATTGCAGAACAGGTTCTTCCCACTACAAGTAAAAAGAGATGCTCTGGAAATAGACATGGGAGCATGGATTTATTAGCATGGGAGGGAGGGTGTTTTCTCTAATTTCTCTGCTATGATTGCCATTTGGGGAATACCAGTGCACCACATAGCATCTTATCTTACCAAAATCTGCTTGTGTTTTCTGAGTCATGAAAAGAAGCAAGGAAGAGTTTTCCACATGGCTTGAACATTATACAGAACCCAAAACTGTCAGTTTAGCAGGTTCTCAGTGAAATAAAGTAGCAAAAGATAATGTGATTTATTTTGTCTCTACAGCCCCAGCTCTGTTTCTTCTTTTCTTTTACTTTAACAAATATCCGAGTTTTCTTGTTTCTTTTTCAAAGAAAGATCCTACTGTTAACTAGACTTCAGGTCTCTGGAAGTTTTACATTTTTAGTTGCTTAAAATATGAAAAGACTTTGTCTTCCACCCTCCATCTTTATGTGTAGGAGGCTTAGTTCTCTCCAGTAGACACTGCCTCTGCTCATGGTTGTGTGAATTTTAAGTCTAAAATCTTTAATTAAACACATAGAGCACATATTGCATTGTTGTTGTTGTTCTTATGTGCCGTTGAGAGGAAAATGGGGGTGCTTTCATAGTTAAAAAGTCATTTCTAGACCTGTCATGAAATACAATATTGTGAGTGACAGGATAATCTCCATATGTATACAAGGAAGTCCAGTGAATACCACTATCATTCAAATATATGCATCAACAACCAGAGCCAAAGAAGAGGAAATAGATGATTTCTAACAACTTTTGCAGTCAGAGATCAATTGAACATGCAACCAAGATGCATTAATAGTGATGGGTGACTGGAATGTGAAAGTTGGGAAAAGAGAAGGATAGGTAGTTGGAAAGCATGGACTTGGTGACAGAAATGAAGCTGCAGATAGGATGATAGAATTTTGCACAATCAATAATTTATGTATTCGTTGCATATTCCATTATAAAAGAGAAATATTATTTACAGGATTTATCTAAGGAATGATGGCAGATGAACTGAAATGTTTCAACAAATGGAGGGTCTCTGGAATCTCTAATTTATCAATGTCAGAATATCTGGAAACAACTTTTGGCCAACCAACTGGAAAAGATCTTTATTTATTGCTATTTTTAAAAAGTATTATACAACACAGTGCAGACATTATTGAATAATATCGTAACTGCCACATGAAAGTAAAATTACGATGTTGTTGCTGTTGTGTACTGTTGGGTCAGAAGTGACACTTGGCTGACACTACAGAGGGCTTATGTTGTTGTTGTTGTTGTTATGTGCCATTGAGTCGTTTCAGACTCATAGCGACCCTATGCACAACAGCCCTAAACCCTGCTCTATCCTGCGCCAACCGTACCGCCTCTGACACACCCATCAAGATTACCCCAGTCACCGAATCAATCCATCTCATAGAGGGTCTTCCCCTCCTGAGTTGTCCCTCAACCCTCCCAAGCATGATGTCCCTCTCCAAGGACCCGTCCCTCCTGGCAACATGTCCAAAGTATGTCAGACGAAGCCCCAGAATCCTTGTCTCCAAGGAGTAGCTTGGTTTAATCCTCTCCAAGATAAATCTGTTTGTTTTCCTGACAGTCCATGGTACATTCAGTACCCTTCTCCAGCACCACAGCTCAAAAGCATCCACTCTCCTTCTGTCCTCCCTAGTCATTGTCCAACTCTCTGATTCATAACAAGCGATTGCAAATACCATGGCCTGTATCAGGCGCACCTTAGTCTCCAGAGAGACACTGTTGCTCCTGAGTACCTTAGAGAGGTCCCTAACAACAGACTTTCCCATCGCGATACGCTTTTTGATTTCCTGACTGCTGGTGCCAAGAGTGTTGACTGTGGAGCCGAGCAAACTGAAGCTGTGAACACTCTCAATCTCTTCGTCATCCATCCTGATGCTGCCAATTGGTCCAGTGGCGAGAATCTTTGTCTTCTTGACACTGAGCCTTAGTCCATACTGAAGGCTGCAGTCCTTGACCCTTCTCAGCAAGTGCATGAGGTCCTCCTCAGTTTCAGCAAGCAGGGTTGTGTCATTTGCATAACGGAGATTGTTAATAGACCTTCCACCAATCCTGATGCCACAATTCTCCTCATAGAGCCCAGCCTCTCGGATAATCTGCTCTATAGAGGCACTTAATTGCAAAGAAGGAGATTGCCCATCCTTATCTGGTGTAGCAACTGGTGGATTTGAACTGCATACCTTTAGGGTTGCAGCACAAAACCACTAGGCCATCAGAGTTTCTAAAATTATGATGAAGATAATTTAAAAAAAAATGATATGGTAATACCTTGACAGAATATTGCCAGAATGTTAAGAAAGATTCAGAGAACATAGAACACATATAAAATTGCTGATACTGGATTGGTCTTGGTAGATAAAAGAAAATATTAGGAAGTTTTTTGCATCTTTTTTTACCTGTGCAAGAAATTTGAGAATATGGTTCCAATTCACCCATGTAAAATGATTATTATTAAGTTCCTCTGATGCATGACCAATCTAATCCCAAATCTAATGCTGAGAATTTCTATTCTAATTCTATTGCTGGAATTAATTACTATGTAAGTTAGATTCCCAAAGAAATTATTCAGCATCTTCAGAGTGATCGTTTATTTACCAAAAAAAAAAATCTGTTATAAAGGTGAAAGTGTAGTTAGACAACAAAGGAGCGTGCTGTGAGTAATCTGAACTAATTGAAGCCAAGTTATTACCACTCATTAACCTGTGGAGAAGTGTCATTGCCAGACACAGTAGGAGAAAATTGTGTAGAGCATGCTGCATTGATATGATTGTGACATCATTTAAGAAAATACCCAACCTGAGAGCTGACTTTGAAGGATGGAGCCAAGAGAATAAATAGCCTCGCATTATTCTCTTTCTAATCTTTTGCCAAAATACCATAATGACCAAATTTAACTTGAAACCAGAGAGCATGGGCCTCTGTGATATAGTTTGCTCAGGTTAATTTCTTGAACCAGAAAGTAGGTGTAGAAAATTAGAGAGTAGATTGGGGGTCACATGGAAAATATCAAATCATTTTTTGTTAGGTTTCTGAAGAGCCAATTAAAGCTTAATGAGTTCAAAGTCTTCCACATGTTTGATGATAAAAGGATGGGAGTTTTATTGAAGATCAAGATGAATGAATGTTGCCATGAATATAGTTTTATATCATATTGGACTCTTCAGTCTTCTCATTTTCTTTTCACTCTAGTAGTAATTTCACCTGTTCTCTCCACATTACTGACTGGTAATCTGTGAAACGCTGACTTCATTTCTTCATTCTGACCTTACTTTCATGTGCTTTTCTTTCTCGTTTAAAAAAAAAATTGATTTTAATGAAAGTTTACAGAGGCTTTGGATTTCCATTCATTCACTGTTGCACATTTTTCCCTGCCCACCCTTTTTCCCCAATTTGCTTTTCTTTTTGAAAGTAAAAGAAAAAATTCTTCAATTCTTATTCAGTCCCTTCCCCCAAGTCCACTCCACTGTGCAGATTTCATTCTGTACTCCTGTAATAACAATAATATCTAATAATATATCCCTTTTAAACAGTTCTCTCCCTCATCTGTTTCAATGCAGTATATATTATTTATCCCATCTTTCTCAGTCTCCCCTCAACTCCTATGTTAGTCCTCTTTTATAACAGTGGCATTATGCCGTATTTATCTTTTTGTGATTATCAGTCAGCATAATGTCCTCCAGGCTCACCCATTTTGTGTAATATTTCATGAGTTCCTTTTTTTCAATGCCACATAGTATTCCATTGTGTGACTATACCAAAGCTTCTCTATCCATTCATTTGTTGATGGGCACTTGGGTTGTTTCCAACTCTTTACTATTGTGAACAAAGCCAAAATAAACATAGGTGTGCATGTATCTGTTTGGGTGGCAACTATGCCCAGTAGTGGAATTGCTGGGTCAAATGGTATTTCTATTTGCAACATTATGAGAAAGCACCATACAGCTTTCCATAGTGGTTGCACTGTTTTACACTCCCACCAAAAGTGAATAAGTGTTCCAGTTTCTCCACAGCCTCGCCAGTATATGTCGTTTGCTGTACTGTTAAATTTTGCTATTCTTACTGCGGTGATATCTCATAGTTGTTTTGATTTACATCTCTCTTAGAGCTAGGGATTTTGAACATTTCTTCATGTATTGTGTTTTTTGAGAGTATAAACTCTCAGAAATAGAAAATTCTTCTTCTCTATGAAGTCATAAAAATCAGCACACTGTCTAGAAAATGAATATGTACAATGGTGAATCAAGGACAGATGTTTCTGGGTAACTGAGCCCATATACTACCATTAGTTTCAAATAACACTCATTTGTTCTAGAGGAACTTCTGCATTCTCACATCGCCCACTGGTGGTCACCAGATGGAGAAAGACTTGCCTTCCTGATGATAAATGACTCGTTGGTGCCTAACATGGTTATCCCTCGGTTTACTGGAGCGTTGTATCCCAAAGGAAAGCAGTATCCATATCCTAAGGTAAGTAATGTGCAAGTGTCAGTTTGTTTTCTGTCTCTGCATCAGTCAGTTGATTGATAATATCATTGTTCCAAGAACCAGAAGTCTTTAAAGGGGAATATAAACCACAAAACTTCTCAGGCAACTTAAGTGATAGCTTGCACAAATTTTTTTTCTAATTTTCCTCCCTCTTCCCCCCTCCCATTATTTTTGGGTGTGAGGAGGTAAAGATGACAATTTTTATTTATTCACTACTGTTTTTCCTTGGATGTTCTCATTCTTGTATTTCTTAGCCCTCTAAGTGGAAAAAAAAATAGAATTCTAGCTTCATGTAGTTGATTTCCTAGCACATTTGATATACTATATATAAATTCTAAATCTCCAATAAAGAGTAATCTGGGGGGTAGAGAATTTCAAATAAAGAATACAATAAGAGTACACAATATCCAGAAATAAAATAGTAATTTATAATTAATATATTAGCATTATTCTAAAACACATTTTATGAAATCCTAAGGAGCTCTGGTGGCCTACTGCTAAGAAGCTGTCCTGCAATCTGAAAGACATATGGTTTGATTATACCAGGTGCTCCACAAGAGAAGGCTTCTCTTCTCTTCTCTGCCCCTTGCATTTAACTGTCTCTGAAAATCCACTGGAGGGTCAGCTATGAGTGGATTGTTACTCAATGGTGAAATCTGGCCAAAGGTACTTAGACCACATGGAATTGTTTTACTGGATGAAGAGAGCATATCTCCAGATAGGAAAATATTTTTAAGTGTTGTATGTTGCCCTCATTAAGTACAATGCAAAAATATATGTGTGGGTTTTTTTGTCAGTTGTATGACATTAATTACTGAAGGTCTATTTTAATAGTTTTATATGTGTGTTTTCCGATTCATGGCTTTGACCATTCCTAAATGATTCACTACTTCATTACTTTAACTCTTTCTCAGTCTTTTTTTATGAGCACTGTGTTTATGTTTCTGAGTGATTTGATTAGTTGATGAGAATCCTTCAGATCGTTTAAGGCTCTGTTAAGGTAACCAACATATGTGTAGTATTATAGTATTGGGCTTACAGCAAAGGAAAATAGCAAGATTGAGTGGTATCTAATTCCATTATTTGAAAATGGTGTATTTAGGCTGTTCTAGACATTGCTTAGAAGGCACATATATCAAATGAACATTGACTTTAGAAGAATAGTGAGTATATTTGCCTTCTGGAGTTAAGGATGGTGAAATTCCATCTAATGTGTTTTGGGCATGTTTGTTAGGAGAGGCTAGGTCTTGGAAAAGGACATCATCTTGAAATAGTGGAAGGTCAAGGAAAGAGAAAAAGACTTTTAGTGAGATAGATTGACTCAGTGACCATCATACTGGGCTTAAGTATGTTAAAGATAATGCGGCTGGCACAGAGTAGGACATTGTTCTGATCCATTGTTCATAGAGTCACTAAGAGTCACAGTCAACTTGATCACACCTAACAACAATCTATATCTAGAATAGGATCTAAAAGTATATAGCTTGGTAAAATGTTTGGTTTTTTGTTATATCAGATTCACTCTGCTTTCCAAAGAAGACACCAAAATAAATATTTTACCAAGAGATGGTGGGTTTTTAGTTATAAAATTCAGATTTAGGCATTTTTTAGGGCATGTTTGAATAAATGCATATAACCATGCAGTGGGATTCATAACAGGTATGCAAGGATGGTTCAACATAAGGAAAACAATCAATGTAATTCATCACATCAACAAGGCAAAGAACAAGAACCATATGGTCCTATCAATTGATGCAGAAAAAGCCTTTGATAAAATCCAACACCCTTTCATGATTAAAGCACTCAACAAAATAGGATTAGAGGGGAATTTCTCCAACATAGTAAAAAGTATCTATGAAAACCCAAGAGCCAACATTGTTCTTAATGGAGAGAGGTTAAAGGCATTCCCTTTAAGAACAGGAACTAGGCAAGGATGCCCACTATCACCTCTTTTATTCAATATTGTTTTGGAAGTCTTAGCAATAGCAATAAGACAAGAGAAGGGAATAAAAGGTATCCAAATAGGCAACGAGGAGGTAAAATTATCCCTCTATGCTGATGACATGATAGTATACTTAGAAAACCCTAAAGACTCAGCAAGAAAACTATTGGACGTAGTTGACCAATTCAGCAAAGTAGCAGGATACAAGATCAACATACAAAAATCAGTTGGCTTTCTCTACCGTGACAAAAAGAATACAGAGCCAGAACTAAGAGAAACAATACCTTTCACAATAGCTAATCACAAGATTAAATACTTGGGAATAAATTTAACCAGAAGTACAAAGGACCTTTTCCAAGAAAATTACAAAACATTACTACAAGAAACAAAAAGAGATCTTGAAAAGTGGAAGAATATCCCTTGCTCATGGATAGGAAGACTCAATGTTGTGAAAATGGCAATACTACCAAAAGCAATTTACACATTTAATGCAATCCCAATACAAATACCAACCCCATTCTTCAACGAGATGGAAAAGGCAATCTCCAATTTCGTATGGAATGGGAAAAAGCCCCGAATAAGCAAAGCACTCCTTAAGAATAGAAGAACGGTAGGAGGTATCTCGCTCCCTGATTTCAAATCCTACTACACTGCCTTAGTGGTAAAGACAGCATGGTACTGGTACAATGACAGACACATAGATCAATGGAATCGAATTGAGAATCCAGAGATCAACCCATTTTTTAAAGAAACATTAAAAAGGCTATATTAGGGATTAAAACTGAAGCATAATAATATGTCCCTAATATGATTTACTAATGAAAATACAATTTCCCTTTCAAATTTAAATGAGAACCATTAAAAAAGATTGAAAAACAATATGTAATTTATTGAAGTGTCCCAATAGGCAAGATGTTCATATACTGCTGTCCAGTTTGTGCACTGCACAAATGGAAGATAAAATAAGGCCCAGGAAAGGATAACTTATTGTAATGACTTTCTGAAAAATCAAGATATTATGATTCATGCACATAACAACAGCCTTATTTTCATCCTCAAACACCTCTTCAGTTACACACTCAGTGTTTGAATATGAGATAATTTTACGAACATTGGCACAAAAGCATACAAACATTTGAGAAAGTTGAAATTTGTCAGAAATAAAAATGATTAAATAATTGTGTTACTATTCTTTAATAATTTAATATTTATGAATCATTCGATGAGCTGCATAGGAGTATATAGTTCATCTTTGCTGGATATAGTCATATGTGATGATTAGTGTCCTGGATATTGATGGCTATGATTAAAAAGTATAGGAAATAAGGAAATATTATGTATATAAAAATATAAAATAGAGGCATAAATCAAGAGAGGATTTTGAGTCGTCATGCTGTTTTATGTAAGAACACCTTCTCAGATAGTTAAGACAACTGAACTTGGAGAAAATAAGTTTGTGTTATGAATCAGTGTCTCCGAATAAATTTCATCATTTTGAATATACTAGTGGAATTTTCAAAGTTTCATTATTTTCTACGGTGGTTAAACAAACTCTTGTTTTTCTAATAACAAATGGATTGTTTTGACTTGTTCTTACTTAAGCCGTGAACTTTCAAAAAGTGGTACTGTAGAATGCTAAAGCAACCCAGAGTTCATACTAAATTGTATTTCAGATTAAACTAGTTTAAAATGAGTGCAGCATATACCCAGTATGGTTAGATTTACTAATGAAATACTTACACTAAACACATATGTTTGTATTTCACTTAATTCAGTGTGATTCAGAACTCATAAAATACTCTATCATTAGCAACTCAGCACAAAAGAGATGTGTACTTATATTGCAGTAACCTCAGGTTAATCTTCTTAATTAAAACATTATCTTGTTTAATGACTATTCAGTTGCCAGTAAAATAAGGTTAATTATTATTGAAGATTGTGTTTCAGAATCATAGAGAAAAAAGATTCTCTGAATTTGCAGCTTTTGTGGCAAATGTGATTGTAAAAAACAAATTAATGAACTCTGCTAATTTGCAAAGTACTGAAACAATTCAAATATTAAAAAGCACAAATGAACATGGAAAGTGTATTCATTTCAAAGCTTCATGAAAATATAAAAAATTATTGAGCTAATGAAATTATGGAATGTCAAACAGCTGACTTTTGGAGATAGCCAGAGTTGTGGTTGAACTGTTAATTTGTTGTCAAAAAATTTGCTTTGTGTGTACAAAGTTTTAGTTTGTGTTCAAGAAAAGGATAATTAACTCTTTAATGATATGTATTTACAGTGTTGATGACATGAGAAACACTGTAAAAAAGTGTGCTTCATTGCTGAAAATTTGCAGAAAGACCAAATTTATTTCAATTTAGCTTTTCACTGATCAGTATGTTGAGTAACAAAGGTAAAAGCACAGATTAATGGATTTTGTTCATCATGTTGCTCCATCTTTTAGGTGCCAATGATAAACATTAAGACTCATTTCTAAATTTGGACAGACTTGATGGAGCAAGAAAACAATTAGGCTAAAAAGAAGTGGGTAAAACCAACATTTTCAAAGGGTAAAATTACAATTATGTGAAAATATTAGTGATGAGAAAGGCACTATATTTCTGTATGTAGGCTATTCAAAATGTACAAATCATACAACTGTTGAAAAATTCAACCTTTACACATGTACTGTTTTGAGGACAGTATCCTTATCCTATCCTTAACCAGAATGATCTTTCCATACCTATTAAAATGAAACTCAAAACATTAGTAACCTCTTCTCAATTCTCCCTCACTCTTCATTGGTAGCCACTAAGAAAATGTGCCTATTATTGAGTTTCTGCATGAATACAGTCATAGCATATTTGATCTTTTGTGATTGATTTATTTCCCTCCGTGAATGACTTTGAGCTCCGTACAAACATGCATGGAGCAAGTATCAAAACTTCAATTTCCTTATTGGCTGAGTAATATTTCATCAAATTCTGTCTATTCATTCATCCTCTGAGGGACATTTTGGTTATTTCCACCATTGAGAGTTGCTGCTAAGACTGCTTATTGACAAATGAGCTCTTCATGAAATTTGATTCCTTGGCACATCCCAGTTACTTGGTCTTATAATATGCTACCTCCTTTATTGGTTTCTTAAAAACTTGCGCAGTAGTCAAGTTATGATGGTTCTCTAATCACTTAAGCCAACAAATAATGGGAGTTAGAAACAGAGGAGAATAGAGACAATATGGCTTTTAGCTCCATGAACAAGTTCCTCGATTGCTTTGAAATTGTGGAGTTTTTCCCAGGTATGATTAATCAGTGCATATTTTGATGAAAGAGTCTGTAGAAGTATCCACATCCAAAGTAAAAGAGGGAGAACAGAATTTAAAATTCCCATAAACTCCAGACTTTCTGGAGCCATGGAAGATAGACAATTATCTTAAACTATTGTTCTGAGATAGTTTTTAAGCTTTAAATTTAATCTAAACAAAAAATTAGCCCTGAAGTGGCCTCACAATCAAACAATAGTTTGACATAACTAGTAAAAGAATATCCTGAATGAAAATCGTGCTCTTTTAAAATCTATTTTATACAAAATCAAATTGACAACTTCGGGATATGTAAGAGTTTAGAAAAATTTTGGAGATTATATTTGGTAATATAGGGAAGTAAAACTGGTGTTTTTTGCAATGTCTTCTGGGGTTGAATATTGACTGCTTCAATTCCTTCACATTGCAGGTTTTCCTTAGCATCTCTGTGTTCATCTAGAAAAGGAGCATAACATTATCTTAGGAGTGTGGCTGAGACATTTGAAGAGATGGCTAGTGCAGTACCCTTACTTTGTGCTCTACTTATTAACTATAGCAACTCCATGTGCCTGGTGCATACTAACTGCTTTATGTGCTCAAACAAATGCATTGAGACTAAATAAATTCTAATTTCCTAATAATTAACCGTTGTTGTTGTTGTTATGTACTGTAGAGTTGGAACTGATCCATCACTGACCGGCCAGCAGGTTTTCAGACACAGTTAAGTTTCTATAAATCTTTACTAGAAAAGATGGTCCTAATCCTCCTATAGTGCAGTTAGTGGATTCAAATAAGTGACAATTTGTGTTCAAACAATCTGGTTGTCAGATCCACACGTAACACAGTACACCACCAAGGCTTCATTTATACATGTTGTTGTTGTGCACCTTCAAGTTGGAACCAAACCACAGCTGAGCCTCCAATGTGTTTTAGAGGCAATAAGTCACCTGAAAGGAGATTGACGATCTTTCTCCCTTAGAGTAGCAGATGGATCCAAACCACTTGCTTTGGAGATTGTAGCACAGTTTCTTAGCACTGTTGTGTTGCTGTTGATTGCCTTCCAGACACTAGGCCATAAAATTTTGAGTCACTGAACTCAAATTAGCACTGTCTTCCTACTCTTCACTAATATATATGCTTAGTGGAGGCAGTTTACCCTATGTCCCACCCTCCCAAATGGAAATAAAGTAAACTTAGGAGGGGAGAAAAAAAAAAGAGAAGGTAAATGGAAACTAAGTATTACAGCATTTAAGACATGTGGCACCTGGACTGAACAGATTTTAAGTTTTGGGATTTTGTTTTAAACCTTTTTTCTTAAATTAGTCAACTCTTCTTTGCATAGCATTTCCTATCCTATTATGTGAGTAGCTGTTTGATCTACGCCAGCCTTTCTAGTACCCTTTTAGGTAAGCACCTCATAGCACTTTCTAATGAATAGAGCCATCATGATTTTCTATCTTCCTTAATTGTCTTTGACTAAGATACCTGAGAAGTAGCAATTTACAAAAACAATGAAATGCAATCAAGTTGTTGAATTTAAAATCATTTCTACTTTAGAGGAATTAAGCTTTTCTCCCTCCTAAAACACACACACACAAAGTAGAATCAAAATGCAATCATTTTATTTCTTAAGAAATATGCGGTTTAATGTATCTTCCTTACAAATTTTATTTTCTCAAAGGCAGGTCAAGTGAACCCAGCAATAAAATTGTATGTTGTAAACCTTTACGGACCAACTCACACTCTGGAACTCATGCCACCCGACAGCTTTAAATCAAGGTAGGCAATTTCAATTTCGCTTTTACAGGGAAATAGATATTTTCACTCCAATTACCATTTTGTTGCAATTTAAAGAGAGAGGTGATCAGCTCAACAAAGCCACGTGAATAGAGCTGAAGTTGCCTCCATTAGCTCAGAAATGAAGTCATTCTGGTTCTTTGACTGTTTCCAAGAACCATTTAAAGTTTCCAAGTGATTAGCAGTGCCACAAAATGACTCATGATACTGATGCTGACAATAGACCTTTTACAGAATATGTGACAGAGAGATAGGGACAAAGGATAATTTGCTATTGAATTTTCTTCCTGAAAATAGCCTTTCCATTTTTAAAATAGTACAATCACTGAAAAATTTGTGGATTTTTTTCCAAATTTCTCCCTGCAGCTGGCCGATTGCCTCTCTAGCATTCTTCTTTTTGCAGAGAAATTGAATACATTTTTGTTTAGAGATATCCAATATGGCATGCTTTCATGTTTAAGAAATTGAGTAGGGATTTTATCTGCAATAAATGCAAGGTTCAGATAGAAATAATACTCAAATGTTGTTACATTGAGTAACAATTTTTTAGGAAAATCCTTTTATAATTGGAATTTTCCCAGAATGCAGAATATTTCTAAATTATGCAGAAATCTTTTGCATTTTAAAAAGTTATAAAAACTTCCATAGTTAAAAAACTATGGAATGTTTAACTGGAAGAACTTTCATTAACAATCTAATATAAACTGTAGGCATATCTCATTACGCTATAGTACATTGTTTAGTTTTTTAAAAAAATAATTCTAGTTCACAAATTGAAATTTTGTGCAAGTCAGCATCAGGCAGGTTGGCAGGGTCATTTTTTCCAGCAGTATGCCATTTTCTATTCCTTTGTCACCATTTGGTAATTCTTGCAGTATGAGAAGCCTTTTTATTTAATTATTTTTTCTTTCTGTCTTCCATCTTTCCCCCCCTACTAGTTATTTACAAAATTCGAATACAAATTTGAACAAGTTCTTTCAATTTCCCTCACCCCATCAAATTATACAACCCAAAGTTTACTCCCCCCGTTCCTCTTCTCCTCCCCACATCCCTCTGCTTCCAGCCTCTCCCACCCCTCCTGGATTCTTATACTCATTCTGCAATGGTTTTATACAACGTTTATCCTTGTGGGACTGTTAGTTCACTCAGCATAATGATCTCCAGTCCCTCCCAAGTTAGGTAATAATTTACAAAGTTATTTCTTTTGCATGCTGCATAGCATTTCATTATGTGACTGTTACCATAATTTCTCAATCCATTCATTTGTGGTTGGACATTCGGGCAGTTTCCATGTTCTTGTGATGGCGAATAATGCTGCTATGAACATTGGTGTGCAAATCTCAGTTTGTGCCTCAGTTCTCATATTCTCAGGGTATATTCCAAGCAGTGGAATAGCTGGTCATATGGAATTTCCATGTTCAGGTTTTTGAAGAAGTGCCAAACTGCCTACCAGAATGGTTGTACCTTTTAAAAAATGTGATCACAGGCTTAATAAACTATAGTCTAACTATAACATTTATAATCATTTGGAAAAATTGTGTAACTATCCTTTTATCATCATTCACTTAATCATGGTTGTCCAGAAGCAGACACATAATATCTCCAAGACATGTCTGTATTATATTTTACTCATGAGAAGATTGAAAACTAATGAGGATGAGCTTGCTAGGATAGAACCATAAGACTTCTTGGTCACCTACGTAGAAAGTATGAGAAGACTTTTTGCTCAAGTTATGCAGTATATCTTAACGAAAGGCCTTAAAGATCCATGTGAGTTGATATACATGATGTCGTTCATTGTTATTCTTAGGCACCAGGTACTGTTGAGCCTGTTCCAATTTACAGTGACTTTTTGTGCAATAGAAAGAAACATTGTTGTTTTTGAACCATCTTCCCAGTCATTACCATGTTTATCCATTTTCATTTTCCATTATCATGTATTTTCTTCTTTGTTCTGAACCATCAACTTTGTCACACATGAATTCTTTCTGCAGGCGTGATATCTCTTTATGCTACTGTTGTAGTTGTTATTAGGTGTCATCAAGTTGACTGTGACTCATAGCAACCATATGAATGGCAGATCCAAAGCGTGTCTTATCCTGCACCATTCTCACAATACTTGCTGTGTTTGAGCCCATTTTTACAGTCATTGTATCTATCAGTCAATTCACTCATTCATTCATTCATTCATTTATTTATATTTTTACAACTGGATATTGTTTTTCTTGTTCTGGGGGTTTTGTGTTGTGCTATTGACGAAAAAGTCCATAGCACAAAGATACCACCTGCTCCACCTAATAAGGATGGGCAGTGGCCTCTCAAAGATTTACAGCTTTGGAAACCTTATGGAGCCTTGCTATGACTTGAAATCAACTCTATAGGGAGAGAACTTTTCTTTTTCTTTTTCTTTTTAAAATTCATCTTTGTCCTTTTCTCTCACTTCCCTGTCCAATCCCTCATCCCACCCTATTATATAGCCCTTGTTCCAGATTATTCTCATATATATAATGCATAATCATATATTCCTTTCACATAGCTTTTCCCCTCATCTTTTCTAATGCAATGTTAATTATCTATCTACTCTTTCTCTATTCCTACTCCAAGATCCCAGATGAGATGGATTGTTATAGTGACTGTGGCACTGGGAGAAGGTGTCAGTGAGACTGGCACAGGAGAAGGCGATGTTCAGAGCTGTTGTACAAAGGTTCTCTATGAGTTGCAGGCACTCAATGACATACCACAACAACAAAAACAAGTGTTGATTGTGGCCCCAAGTAAAATCAAATCATTGACAACATTAGTTCCTTCTTCATGTCTTGATGTTGCTACGAGATCCACTGGTGAGGATGTCTTTTTTCTTAATGTTGAGATGTAATCCATATTGAATGTCAGTGATCTTCTGCAGCAAGTGTTTCAGACTTCTTTGCTTTCAGCCAGTTGAGGCAACTGCATAAATACAGATGAGTTGAAGAGTCTTCCTCCAATCCTGTTCCACTTTCTTCCTCATGTAGTCCAGCTTCTTAAACTATTTATTCTGCATACATATGTAATGCATATTGACACACATCCTTCTTTATTTTAAACCATGCAATCTTCCCTTAATTAAGTGTTCTGGTATTCTCATTCTTCTCAATGTTAGCCATATTTTGTTGTGATCCACAGAATCAAATTACTTTGTAGGGTCAATAAAACACAAACAAACATCTTGCTGATATTCATTGTCACTTCTAAGGACTTTTTGGATGTACTTTTCCCAAGGGAAAAAAAAAAGTTTTTCTTCTAGCGCTCATAGTTTGTGTGTTCTGTATCTAGAACAATAATTCAAAGCCATCCGCCCCCCCCCATTGTCTCTTTTATTGTCTGGCTTTTGCATACACATGAGGCAAGTAAAAAATTCATTACTTGGATCAGGTGCACCATACTCCTTGTTTTTGTTATCTTTTTTAAAAATTTTAGTTTTGGGGTTTTCTTTTCATTCATATTGTCTTTCTTATAATATCCCCATTCATTGCATCTTATAAAATCAATCACCATTGGCTTATGCCCACTACTACACCATCTTTAAGATCCCTATTGGATCTTTCATAATTCTTTCACCTCCTCTCTCCACCCACCAATCTTTGCAACCTCGTGATTTACCCCCTCCCCACATTCACCTCCTTCCATCGTCCCTTACTTCTTTGGATATTGTCCAAGGAAGGAAAAATTGGACATGAGGGCACAGGCCATTGAGTGTCTCTCTGAAAGGCCCAGAGGGAGTAAGAGTAGCACAGCCTCTCACTGTCCCAGAGTAGAAAGCAGACAAAAAGCCGACTCCCAGTCCCATGGTGCCTCTACAGTGACACCAACAGCAAGAGGTCCATTTATTCATTGCTGACTCACAGTTATGATAACAACTATGGAATTTGTTAAGTGAAGGAAGTTCAAGAGTGGAGGAGGCAAAGAAAATCTTGCAGTACAAGTCAAGTTGTAGTCCAAATTCCAAGGCACAATTCCTCCAAGCAAACAAGCATCCAGCAATTTACAAGTTAGCTTCTTCAAGCATCCTTCAAGAACAGAAAAACACCTTTAACTGTAGCCCTATCTCATAGCTCCTCTGCTACACCTTCCCACAGTTTCTCCACCGCAATGCCACAGTTTCTCCAACATCATCACCAGGGTCTCACCAACAGAGTCTGCTCTAGTCTCCCTCAAAGTCTTGCAACCACATATCTTGCTTGTCTCAAGTCTTGCTGCCCCCCTGTGTGTGTAAGCACACTCTTTCTCTTTTCCTAGTTTCACAGTTAGTCAAGATTTCCAAGACTATGTGTCTACACTTAAAGTAGCTGGAGACCAGAGGGTGCTAATTAATGGCTAAAAAAGCCAACTTTTAGGCAAGCATGACAGATATCCATATACATCTTACTTGTTTTATAACATTTTGGTGGTGGTGGTGGAGTTGTGTACCGTCAAGATGGAACTAACCCATAGCTGACCCTCCAGCAGGTTTTCAGAGGCAGTTAATCACACAGGAAGAGACTATCCATCCTTTTTCTGAGGAGCAGCTGGTGGCCTCAAACTATGTGCCTTCAGTATTGCAGCACAGCTTCTTGCCAGTAGGCTACTAGAGTTCCCTTGTAACACTTTAAAGGTGTGTTTTGTAGTAGAAATGTTAATATAAGCTTTATATTTGTGCCAAGAAATGAGAGGACAACTACCTGGACAAGTGATTGGAAAAGATCTATATTTATTCCCGTTGGAAAAAAAAGGTACCCGATAGAGTGTGAATAATTATCAAACAATATCACAGATATTACACCCACGCAAAATCCTGCTGAAGATTATCCAAAAATGACTGGAACAGTATATTAACAGAGGACTACCAAACATACAAGTTGGGCTTGGAAAGAGACATTATCGCCAATGTCTCATGGATCTTGGCAGAAAGCAAAGAGGAATATCTATGTATATTTTGTTGACTACACAAAGGGATTTGACTGTTT